GTGTCAATGGGAATTGCAATTGGCTGTCGCTGGTTTGGATATATGCCATCTTTACGAGACGTTCTGCCCCCTGTCTTGCCTGCCTTACATACTTGCCCTCTTACGACTATAGAATAAAATGGTGTGATGGATTATGATCATAATTAAGCTTAATTATTATTATATAAGTTTAATTAAAAATAAATAATGTATATTATCTAAAATAATTAATATAACTAACACAATAACAAATTAATTTAAATCTGTAATGGAAGCGAATTCATTTCAAACCACGTCTGATTTTCATTATCACCTCTAGGATTCATTTGTGAAAAATTGTGGTTATTAAGAATTATTATCGAAAAAAATGGTATAGAATAAAATAAAATAGAATAAATAATGATTTCTTATATTTACGCGTATACATTAAATGAAACTAATTTAACGGATTATATCACGTTTAATTTTAATTAGTTATAACTAATATTAACTAATAACTTTTTAAAATTATGGTAAAACTAGTAATAAATAATAACTAATTGAAATGAAACGTGATAAAGTCCGTGAAATAAGTTTAATTTAATGAATAGAATATTTTTTTATTTAATTTAGAATACAAATATTTTGTTATTGAAAATTATTACTTTTAAGGCGGGTTCGGAAAAAAAACCTCTGTTCTGGAAAGAATCAGCAAGAAAACCAGCAAGAAAATCAGCAAGATTTTTGTTTCAAAATAGGTATATTATACAATAAGTTGAACTTACTACTCACACAACTTATACTTGTATTTAAAAAAAAGCTTGGAAGCGACCACCTCATTTTCATTATTCAATATCAATAATTGGTATGGTATGGTTTTCGTATGAACTTACTGAAATATAGCAGCAAACCCCGAATTGGTATTCGCTTGAATTTGGTAAATAATCTGGGGGATTGTTAATCGGGTTTCACTATAAGGAAAAGTAGATCCTGTATTCAAAACGCAAATTGAGTCAGAAGAACTTTTTGAGACCTGGCATATAATAACTGCAGACTCTTGTCAAGAAATGCAATCGGTCATGGATAAACTTGCTAGGAAACCACCGTGAGTTGTAAAGTGCCATAGTCCACCACATCTCTACGACATCGCTCGACAACACACTGCACTGGACTACAATGGACACACTGCACTACAACGGACTGTCTTAAATTTAAGAGCTTCCATTTTTTTTGCTCCCGAAACAATTGGAAAAGGACTACGCTTTATGTAGGGAGGCGGAAAATGCATTACGGATACCACGACAGCCGGCTATCGTGGTTAGGAGGGACTCACTGCCTACCGGGGAACCTAAGTGATACCCTCTAAAAACTGCCTTTGGGGACTGGCAACTAGCTGTTTAAAGCTTCTAATGCCGTATCGGAAGCGACCCTGTTTTGGGAAAAGAGGGCGGAGCGGCTACGACCCGCTGAGGGAGAGCCTACGAAGGCAAATTAATTACGAATAATTTAATTAGAATTGGCCTGAGCCACCAGGAGGCAGTTCAGGTCGTTTGACAGTTTATTAGGCGGGTCCGAGTGAGAGTTTCTCGGCCTGCAGACTCGATAGCGAGAGGGGGTGGGGCTGCATAAGTAGCTGCCTCACGAATAAGATGATTGGAGTGCGACTCTAGGGCTTTGAAGAAGTTCTCAGAGAGTTTTTTAAGAAATTGTTGAATTGTAGGGAGCTCTAGGTCCCGATGAAGGTCGGCATTACGGACGTACCAAGGTGCGTTCGCAGCTCGACGACAGAAAAGGTTTTGAACTATTTGGAGTTCATTAATAATTTTAGGGTCAGCGTGGGCAAGTATGGGGCCCGCGTAGGACATGACTGGTCGTATACAGACCTTATAAGGGGTACGCTTGTTTCTGAAGGACATTTTACTGCGTCGGCCGACCATAGTGTTGAACCTACTCAGGTAAAAACGTGCGTGACGGGTTACTCTTTTGACGTGGGGCCTGAAAGTGAGCCTTGTGTCTAGAGTGACACCTAAATATTTGGCAGACGTATGCCAGGGGATAGGGGTCCCTAGCATACGTATTGGTGGAGTGTTTTTGAGATGGCGTCGTTTATAATCGAAGTGAACGGCGGAGCTTTTCTCCGGGTTCACATCGATGCGCCATTTTTTGAACCAAGCTCCTAGGTCGTCAACTGACTTTTGAACCTTGTTCCGTATGAAAGGTAGCGAGATACCTTTACAGTAGAGATCAGTGTCGTCTGCGAAGAGGGAGAGCTGAACACACATCGACGGGATGGGAATGTCGTTGGTGAACAGGATGTACATCAGAGGAGCAAGTACTGAGCCCTGAGGGACACCAGCTTTGATAGGGCGCTGTGAAGATAGCGTGCCTTCGTGTCTAAAACGAAAGATACGATGCTTTAGATAAGAGGCCACGAGACGTACTAGACGATCGGAGAGAACTTCCAATGGCCTTTCATCTTTATGTACCGTATATATCCGACCACGCTTTTGTTAATTTATGTTTCCTTTTTTAATTTGGGTTACTTTTAAGGGAAGAGAAATTTCATCTTCACTAGCACGACGAAAAACTCCTTATAAGAAAATTATACTAAAATACTTAAGTAAAGTAAAAGTAAAGTTCAATCCCTCAGCTGGACACAGGCCTCCCCTCATTTCTGAGAGGGTTTTAGGACAAGGAAGTATCCGCTGCGCTGCCCCAAGTTGGCAAACTTCACATGTCTTCAAAATATTTTTTTTCCTTATTCCTCAGACATGCAGGTTTCCTCATGATGTTTTCCTTTACGCCACGCCGAGCACGTGGCAAATCAGGACCGTACTATAGTATATATATATATATATATATATATATATATATATATATATATATATATATATATATATATATAAATACTAGCTTGCCAGGCAGACGTTGTTCTGCCCCTTTCGACGACCCTTTATCATGTCCTATTAAAAATCCTTAAATTCACAAAAAATTGTGGGTCACTAATGGGCAAAAAAAACTATCCTATCTCTCAAGTTGGACCAAACTGCACACGGTGTGTAAATTTGATAAAAATCGGTTAAGTAGTTTAGGAGTCCATCGCGGACAAATAACACGTAATTTATATATATATATATATATATATATATATATATATATATATATTTGTGTAATTCTTCATGGGGGGGGTATATTGCCACAGTTGCCATGCTTGGCGAGCGGGTTGGCAACTTTTTTGTTAGGGGGATGAGGATATTCGCAGTAAAACCAGAGTGACCAACATAGCCCAACGGATTAGTAAGCTGAAGTGGCAATGGGCTGGCCTTATAGTTCGAAGAACCGATAACCGATGGGGAAGAAAGGTTCTCGAGTGGCAGCCTCGTACCGGTAGGCGCAGTGTAGGGCGACCCCCTACTAGTTGGAGTGACGACCTGGTAAGATATGCAGGAAGTCGATGGATGCAGGTGGCTCAGGACCGTGATTTGTGGCATTACTTGGGGGAGGCCTATGTTCAGCAGTGGACTTGTGAAGGGCTGTAATTGTAATATATATATATATATATATATATATATATATATATATATATATATATATATATAGTGTACATATAGTATATATATTTACATATCTACATGAATATAGTTATGTGCAATAATTTTTAATTTAACATAAACAAAACATAAACGATCACGCCTGTCACCCAAGTGAGCAGGCAGGGACTACAGACTTCCATTTGGCACGATCCTGACACACATCTCTCGCCTTCTCCACTTTCATATACTTATGCATACATGATCGTCGGTTAAGAATACTCCTAATTTGGCTCATTTTCAATATATAGGCAATTTGGTCGATAAAATTTCGCCTAGGACGTCCCTTTCCGATTCTTCCATTCATTTCTGCAACATAAATTTGCTTTGTCACTCTTTCCTCATTCATTCATTCTACATGACCAAACCACCGAAGCATTCCTTTAGAAAATTAAACAAAAAGTAATGAATTATTAATGTAAAAGAGGAAATAAATATAATTTATTTTTGTGACGGAAACTTCTAATAATTCTCCTGAAGTAATTTCTTAAAAAAAAAAAAAACTGTAAAGATTGCGCTTGCTGAGTGTTAAGGGGTAATGAATTCCAAAGTCGGGTTACTAGTGAAGTAAATGTCTTGTTATAAAATGGAGTTACGTTGCAAGGAGTATATAAAGTCAAGCTATACACTGATCGCAAATTGAGGTCATGAAATTCATGTCGATAGTGACATTTTTCCTTAAGGTATCTCAGAGATTTCGGATCAAACAGTACACAAAAAGTAAAGGGAGTATATGAACATTCCGGCGAAGGTGCTAACGCAATTTTGGTAGAAATGGGCAGGGCAGTCTCTTAAGACTTCTACAAGCTGCAAACATTTTCTTGCTTATCTGTTCAATTTGAGCTGCCCAAGACGTTGTACTATCAATTACAACCCCTACACTTTTTATAACATTACTGTAAGGAATAACAGAATTCTCAAAACAGACAACATACACATTTGCCACAGTTACCGCATTTTGCGGGCATAGCCGCTTTTTCTATTGTTTTGTAGTTATTAGTGGACTAGCTGATACCCGCTCGCTTCGCTGGACACACGCTAATATTTTATTGCGGAGCCTGGATGTAAAATATCAAAAATATTTTTTTGGTGGGACTATCGTAAAATCTGTTCTTAGTGAGTGTCTACATTGCGAAATGAGTAACTATACTAAATTTAAAGTCAATCGGGTGTATAGTTTTAAAGATTCATGATCAGTCAGTCAGTCAGTTCGCTTATATTTTTCTCGCTTTTATTTTCGCTTATATTTTATTCGCTTATATGTATATATATATATATATATATATATATATATATATATATATATATACTGCCCATCTTCGGGTTTGTTTGCCTTTGCCATTCGTTACGACACCCACGGGAAGACATAGGAAAAGTGGATATTTGCACACCGCCACTACACGGTGGTTATTTCTCAACGAAGTAAAAATGAAAATGTATTATTTATGATAGGCTGTCACACGCAAGTTTGTCTACGAGGACAGCGGCGGCGTTACTGCACTATGCGGCTCTGTCGAGGCTTGCCTTGGGCAAGGACTCCGCAGGCGAGCACTTGGCCTCTTCAAAACCAGCTCCACTACGGCGTTGCTACACAAGATTGCTAAGGTAAGTGCTAGAACATTAGGACAGATTTATAGGTTAGAATAGAAAGATAGGATATATTTTGGAAGATATGTTTTGATAGTTTGGTAGCTATAATGGGAGCATGCGAATGTCGGGATTCGTTAAGATGTTTATTATACTATCGTATTATGTGCGGCATTGGTAAACCATTCAATAAAACTTCTCGAAACCGACATAAAAATCGCTTGCGTAGAAATATAAATAATAAGTTTAACAATCATTTATATCTCTAACAAAGTGCTTTTTATATCATTTATATGTTCAATATGATTGTTAGATACGATTTTATGCGACAAAAAGTTGTATTCTTGATTTTTAGGCGCTTAAGGCATGCAATATTTCCATACAAAGTGCTCAGTCATTAAAACACCTTATGTTGCGTCATTCGGCGTTTGACTGGTGGGAAAGAGTCCTCAATAATCCTTTACATAATGTTTGAAGTGAAAACTTCTTTAGAATCGCAGTGATTTGAAACTTGACGAAACGAAAAAGTGACACTAAAAAGAGACAAACATATACATTTATAAGATTTAGCCTGCGAGAGAATGAGATAGGATATATAATACGAGTACATTAAACAGTGTTTTTCTGAAGGGTTACTTCTACCGCGTGTGAACTGCACACATTTTTTTATTTATTTATTAAGTCTAATAAGAAAATTGTTTCTTTATATGTTTTACTGTTGAAGCTCGTGTGAACAAATAAAGAAGAGAATTTTAATTAAGATATTTTATGTCACTATCGGAAAAATCAATAACTATAAAAATAACTACAAACGATATAAAAAAATGTAAACGCTAAAGGGCGCAATCATACTGCCTTTAGCTAGTCTACGAGTACGTGCACCTGCCTTGTGCGTTACAGCACCAGCTGCAATATAAGAAACTGACCTAACGTCATGTCGCTCACTTTCCTGTACAGCGCGAATATAAGCAGACGTTGGACACAGATGAAACGTTGAAGCGCCAAACAAGCTATTAGTAGACTGATTGAGTTTGCAATAACAAGATACCATCGGCTCTAGCCGGCTATGGTTACCGGCACCGAACTTAAATCAAACAAAATTGTTGTCACCTCCAAAAGCAAAAACTTGTTATACAACTAAAGTTGTTAATGAACTTGTACAGTCCACCTGATGGTAAGTGACTATAGCAGCTTACCCAACATCAAACGAAGAATGCTATAGATACAAGGTAACCTTTGAGGACTAAGTTGCAATGCTTTATTGCCTGTACTATACTGTAATTCCTCTATATACCCTTCATTCAGGCGACAGTAAAGTGTAAGAGGGCGGTACCTATACAGACGTTCTCGTATCGTATCGTATCGTATCGCGTGTATGTTTCAATATATATATATATATATATATATATATATATATATATATATATATATATATATATATATATAATAAAATCTCATTCAATATATATAATAACTAAAAAAAGTAAAATGCATTTGATTTTTATGGTAAGTAAAATATGGAATAAGTTTTATATCTATACTGATCTTAAGTGTTCAATATATTGGTGCAAAGAGTTCTTGAATGTTTTCAAACCCTTCGCCTGAAACTGAAAGCTTTATTTAAATAAAGCATTGTATACATAATTCCTTTTTTCAACAACCTATACTTTACTCCATTAACTTCAACGCTTGTATTTATAACTATAAAAATGTCCGAGATATATTTATAAGTAATTGTATAAAAGGCAATATGTTAAAACGTCCAGTTAAATAGTTTGTTGTCATTTATTTCGCTTTTATTAGAGTTAGAATTTACACTTCCGTTTTTTATAACAAGAGAACCAAATTTATTACTTATATATCTAACACGAGGTGATAATGTATCTGCATTTAGATTCTTTATCGAGGTTAGGTGTTTATGAGTTATAGCATCTTATTTTTGCTTTCGAGCTCAGTTTAAAATTCTTATATTAAAAGTAATAACAGCACAATACTTATATTCATTAAAACATAATAAGAAACCTTTGAAAAGGACCCTAATACTTTTTCAAAAGAGGTACCTATTGGAGGAGACCAAAAAAGCTTTGTCTCTAGTTATCCCAAAGGACAATTCTTTATACAAAAGGTTCAATAAAGAATCCGAATTCATAGAAAATTCTTTTCCATTATGCTTTGCCGCAAAATACTCAATGAATAGAATTATTCAAGTGTTCAACTGTATCATATCTGAAACATTTTACATCCATTTTTATTCAACACTTGTATAAAGTTGCGTGTATTATGTAAGAGTTGTATTTTTCTATGTAGCGTTTATTATTGTACGGTAGTGTCGAAATGGAATCCTTCACCCCATTTCGCCCCTTGGGTGTCGTGTGTGATGACGAGAAAAAGTAAACCATAGACATTTAAATAATACTAGTTTTTACGGATTTTATCGCGTATATTTAAGTATAAATATAAGAAATCATTAAGTAAACCAAAGACGTCAGTGAAACTATTGCATTTTGTATGTAATGTATGATTCAGTGAAAACGGGTTACATTTTAATAAAATTTTTAGCAACCTTATAACAACGGAAACATTAAAACACAAATTGTTTCACGGCCCTAATGGATTATAAGGGCGGTCGCTTAATGAGTTTGTAGATTGTAATATGAGAGTGTTACAATAGGTTTCGGGTTTTTTCGAGCAGTAAGGTTTGTGGATAAATGTAGTAGAAATTATCCGATATTAGAACAATAAAATTTTCCGAAATGTAAACTTTTATAAACCTATTTTTTTTTTAAATTAAATATAGATTATTAATAATATTTGTAACATAATCTTTTAATGTAATTTTCACCAACTTGCAGACGGTCAATTGACTTGAAAGTTTTTACGCGTACTAAGAACCGATGACAATACAATAATTATTATCCTATTATCTTGAACAGGTATACCTCAAAACCTGAAAACTAAGTTGTACAACCAGTGCGTGTTACCAGTGATGACTTACGGAACCGAGACGTGGTCCTTTACTGCTGGCCGTATGAGGACACTCAAAGTCGCTCAGCGAGCTATGGGAAGGGCTCTGCTCGGAGTTTCTCGGCGTGATAAACTTAGAAATGAGGATATCCGCAGTAGAACCAGAGTAACCGACATAGCCCAACGGATTAGTAAGCTGAAGTGGCAATGGGCCAGCCATATAGCTCGAAGAACCGACAACCGTTGGGGAAGAAGGGTTCTCGAGTGGTAGCCTCGTACCAGTAGGCGAAGTGTAGGGCGACCCCCCACTAGATGGAGTGACGACCTGGTAAGACATGCAGTAAGTCGATGGATGCAGATGACTCAGGACCGTGCTTTGTGGCATACCTTGGTGGAGGCCTATGTTCAGCAGTGGACTTGTGAAGGGCTGTAATGATGATCTTGAACAGGATCACTAGGATATTTTTATGAAAATATTACAACCTAACATTCGCACTAGGATCATTACAGCCAATGATCAATGCGTGTTGTTTAAGTTTTTAAAATTAGTATTATTTTTGAGATTAATTTACATCTGGTTAAGGAAATATCTTAATCATGGAAAAATAATATAATATTAAGAACATGCCAGGTCTGCCTATTTCACAGACTACATAAAAAGTGCTTATTTACAATGTTAATAATTTGGGCTGGAAATAAAATAAAATGCAAAAAGTGTGTGTGATAAAGTAAGGTGCAGGCAACATCTAGATTAGTCAATCTATGACTTTTTAAAAGTGGTGGAGCCACAATGCAGCTATATTTTTTTATTCTTACAAAAAGGGCTTTGTCGCTGAAGCGCTTATGTCGCCCTGGTACAACAAAATTCTTAAATAGGATAAATACTAACAACTAAACTTATTAATTACATAATCTCTTATTTACTAACACATAAAGCTTTTTGGCATCTTGCACCTATATTATGGTTGTAACACGAATGGGTCGGCTCGACCGGGCTAGGACTACGCTTTCACAGAATACCAGCGTCAAATAGCAGCTTAATAATGCTAGCAACCTACCTGGTTTTTTTAAACATAACAGTTTACGAATTATGGTTTATGATAAAACAAATAATTTTAGAAATAACTTGAAAGCGATCAATGGTATATTGGCGAAAGAACCCACCTCTCCATATCACCCCGTGGGTGTCGAAAGAGGCGACAGAAGGATAAGGCGTGGGCAGCAGCATCTTCGTGATAATAACTCAAAATAATTAAAATGCTGCAATGGTGATGAACAATAAAATTTTACATAGTAGCAAAGAAAACAAAAACATTTTGTTGCTGCAGCACGAATGGGTCGGCTCGATCTCCAAAGAACCACTCTCTCACAGAATAAAAACTGTAATTTGGCAGCATAATGCTGTCGTATTTCATAAGGTGAGTTTCGGGGACCGGAGATTTATTACTAAGTATTGGCATTCCATCTTAGTCGTCAGGGGTGGGGGTGTCTAGTGTACTCGTTTATCACTCCTACAAATATACATAGTGCCTGACTCTTGAGTTACCGCAGCTTTAAACTTATCATTACATCCATTATAAGAGCAAATAAAGAACATTTCTCATATTTATACGAATACTACTAACACGGTGACGTTTCGGCTTTTTGATGCTTGGTGACCTCTTCATAACATTTCGTTTTCTCTGAACTTCCTCTGACAAAATTATTTTCTTCACCCCTTCACTCATTTCACCAGGTTCAATGGTTACATTTTCATGTTCAGGCTGCACGTTTCTGAAATTCCTTTCCCAATGGCATCAATTAATGACGAGTTATATAAATATATGCATACTAATGAATATATACTATTTGAATTGTTACAACTATGTTAAATTCTCACCACTCCATGGGTTGACTGGTAGGAAAGGCATTAAGTCTACCCTTTGTATTCTTACTTATAGAGAACGCAATAAAGGTGTACTATGTATAACCAACATTCTTTTCTTTAGTAAGATATTGATTACTCAAAGTAACGAGTGCTCGTTTCTCTGGAATCATCTTTTATAACTCATTTAGTATTTGTTTAGAGAGTGTATACCTAAAAGTTAGGTTGCCATTTGGTCTAGTGGTCGCTATCGCGTCTTCTGATCATGTGGTTGTAGATTAACCATAATAACCCGAACAGAGTGAGTGTGAATGTGAGGTGCACATGTGCTTGGTATGCTTTATGTATTTCTTTCATAATTCAAGTCTTAACATCTTGCTAACCGTACTTTTATTTTAACACACATTGTCGCACTTTCACATTTTCAGTCATACCTAACATAACATATAACAGGAGTGGGGTATATGAAGCCAATACATGTCATAAAGATACAGACAATATACGGATACAGGCACCAATAAATGAATCCACGACTTTTTTGGTGACCTGGGCAGCGCGGCGCCATTTAAAAATGTGGTGTAATATTTGACTGATTTCATAGCGGGGAAGTTAATTTGTTCGGAAAATGTAAAAGTTAATATTTCTTT